ATGTATGGTGTGTGCAATTCTTTCATATCCATGTTTGTAATCAAGTTATTTTTTGTAAAATTATTTCATATGTACGTACATATGTATGTATGTACAGTATGTATGTACGTATGTATGTATTTTATGTAAATGTGTTTCAGATTCTATTAAAATATTGGTATGACAACAGATTATCATTTCTTTATGACTGAACTTTTAGTGCACCTGTAACAATTGATAATTTATTTTAGTTATCTTGTCATGATCACATTGATTGCTAGTCTGTTTTAAAACCCGCTGATTCTTATTATACATCACGCCCGCAAAACATGTGGACTCTGGTTAGTTATCCCTAGGAAGAAACGCGTTTTACATCAAGGCTCCTTGTCTGTAAGTCCCGCCTTTTGTACTCAGTTGTCAATACGTATATTCCACTTTCTCCTGGCAAGCTCAATCTTGAATTAGTTTATGTAAACCAACTTAAGTAATTCGCCAGACCGGTGTCAACTGAGGGTCATCCTTGAATGTGTAACAGTTGGTTTGTTTGTAATTTTTGTCATTGCGTGAGTAGCCACCTCTGGCAACTCACGGGTATTTAAACCCATGCGAGGAGGGATCGGCCTCCCCTTGACGCTTCTACAAATTTGTCTCAGGTACGTAAGCGTGTGTTCCCCGCCGATATAGTCTTTCAGTTTGACTTTGTCAATTTTGTGAGTATCAGTGTTCATGTTGTAACAGTGTAATTGTCATTTACTCAGTGTAAGAAATACTAATGTAAATGTCGTCGGTCGTTGGTAGACGAAATATTGTTTGTGAGTGAGTCATCATCATCATGCTTCCTGTGATGCTTCTACAAATTGTTCTCGGATCCAGTGTTTGGGTTATTTGAACACCCCACCGGCTGCCCGGAGTCGGTGGATACCTAACAGTTAGCTATATTGGACGATGTCGCCGATTCGGCAAGATTAAACTGCTCCATGCATCGTGGGGGCTGGACCCCAGACTGTCACCACGTGTTAGACTACCACCGATCATAACAGCGGTCGTCAGTTGTGAGACGCAAGTGTCCTACCCCGGGACACGCCGTACAGTTATATAGTCCACAGTGTTTGTTGTATATGGTTGGGGGATAATTATCTGGAATATAATTATCCCAAGTTGGGTAGTGAACCCATGTAAATTGTTGGTATCAGTAATAACGTGCTGTGTTGTGAGTGCATCTTCCATATGCACTGCCAACAGTTATAGTGAAGTACCATAGGTAAGTTTGTTTTGTAACTGTGTGTAATGAAATGTACCTAGTAATGTTGTAAGAAGTAAAAGTATCCACTTGGAATGGCAGTTACGAGAAGCCAAGGAGTTGATCCTTGAAGCTGTATGTAATGTAATGCAACACCAGTAAGGTTGTGAGAAGTGAGAGTACAGTATCTAAGTGAATTGCAGTTGAGTAAAGCCCAGGAGTTGAACCTTATAGTTGTATGTTAATATCTTTTCCCTAATTTGATTTCATATTAATACCTCAAAGTCATCATCACTGTCTCTACCTCTGCCACTATCACTGGCTTGGGCTGGCTGTGGTGGGTTGCGGGCGAAGAACTCTGTTATGCTTTGCTGACGGCTGGTGTTTATGATGTCTTGATAAACCTTGATGTAGGGCTCCATAGTCTGCAACAGCTGGGTAGTGAAGATTTCATACCTGTTTGCGTCAGGGTCGTCGGAAAGGAGCTTGACTTTGTCGATACACTCAATGGCACCCCTAACATTACTATGGGAAAAGCGGCATTCTTCTTGGGATGACGCACCACCTGCCTCTTCACTGACGTCATCATCATCTACCATCTCGTCGGTAGTCACATCAGGATCCCTTATCACCTCCAGGATGTCGTCGTTGGTGGTCTCGGAGAAGCCTGCAGCTGTAACACTCTGCACAGCTTCTCTGGCAAGGTCCACTGCAACTGCAACAGTCTGAACCTCACCAATCACAGATTGACTCTGCCTAATGGCCCGAATGCCTTGCAACACATGTCTCCATGCGTGACGAACAGTTGCTACAGACAGCTGATCCCATGCCTCCAACAAGAAGTCCACAGCTTTCTTGATGTTGAATATTCTCCAGAATTGTTTTAAAAGTACTTGTTGCTCTGCCAACTGTTGATCCTCGTCGTCTTCGCTCTTGCTATCGGTGGTGGTGTCACTCAGGTTACGCAACTCTTCCCTGGTGTTGGTGCAGTCGTTCAGGAGCTTGAATTTTTTAGTAGAGAATGCAGCTTTTACATTACAGATTAACTCTTAGTCCATGGGCTGTAATATAGACGTAGTGTTGGGAGGAATGAAGACCACTTTTACGTTGGGGTGACGATCTAACAGTAGGGGCGAGTGTCCTGGTGCGTTGTCCAGCAGCAACAAAATCTTGAATGGCACATTCTGTTGCTCAAAGAATTTCTTCACATCGGGAACGAAACAGTCATCAAACCAGGAGAGGGACAGTGTAGAGAACATCCACGCCTTACGTGCGGTCAGCCAGTGGACATTTAGCTTGGTCATGTCCATGCTCTTGTAGGCGTGCGGCTTGCGTGCTGTGTGGATCACCGATAACTTGAGCTTACAGGTACCGGAGGCATTGGTGGTAAACAGGACGGTGATGCGCTCCTTATGCAACTTCCGGCCCCGAATCTTGCTGGCATTCTTCACAACGAAGGTCTTGGAAGGTAGCTTTTTCCAAAAAAGACCAGATTCGTCCATGTTAAACACCTCGTCGTCGGTGTACTCTCCTTCCTCCATAATCTCACGTAAAAACGGAGGAAATTCTCTAGCCACAACACGGTCAGCACTAGCTTCTTCACCACCAATGTTGATATTGGTGATCTTGTTCCTCTTCTTAAACCTCTGTAACCACCCAGAGGAAGCATTAAAGGGTTTGGGCTCTGTAATTCCCATCTTTCGTGACACTGCAGCATACAGTTCACGTGCGTACTCCTTAACAGAGCGCGTGTCCACCGCCATGTTCCGTCGCGCCTGACGCACCAAGTAGCTCACAAGTAATTTTTCCGTCTTGAGAAGCACCTGGTTATGGAAATACTTGATCATAGAAGCACCTGTAGACTTTGTGATGTTCATGTGCTCCTTTATCTTGGCTGCATCCTTCTTAATTGTCCTGATCGCAGACTCGTTAACACCATGCTGGCGCGCGAGATCAACCTGTCTTGTTCCTTTCTCCAACTCTTGTATGATCTTATACTTAATTTCATAGCTTAAGGAACGTCGTGTCTTCTTTGACTTAGGGCGGCTGGGTCCAGGTAAGGAAAGGTTTCTCTCTGGGGGCGGTGGTCCGGCGGAAGCCATTTTACAGAACACTGGATGCACGATTACACGGTGTGGCCTGGAGGGATGAAACTGCCGCGGCTAGGTCAAGCGTCGTCTTTCCTCCCTCCCTCCCTCCCTCCCGCGGGTGGACACGTCATATTACTTTAAACCAATCACAGCTAGCAGCGAGGGAGGTAAGGATGCATGGCCCAATTACAGTCCGATACGTCATATGACGTCACTGATAACGCAACAAAGACACACACTGTGCAACCTACTCGCGCCGCTTACACAACATGGCGGATGGCGGGAGAGGGCGGGAGGTTTGGATCCAAAAATGGAGCGGCGCGAGATGACCGCCAGCCGCTCTCCGCTTAAAGGGGTACATGCACCGCGGAATGTGAGCATTCCGGTTTCGGCAGGGTACCGTGTAAACGTGGAAACGCGGAATGTGGGATTGCGTAAAGCGAGGGTTGACTGTAATTCAAGAACTTTGTAAGATTTGTTTTTCGTATGGTGAACACTTTTTTACTCCTTAAAATTCTCAAAATTTTTTTACTCAAAGTTGAAAATAATGCTTATTGTATCTTGGACTAATAAGGATGAACAGCAACAAATAAAATACAAGAGTTGTTTCACATTATTCAAACATGAAGGTATCTGAACTAATCATCTCTATAGCAGCTCAACAACCTATTATCTCTAGGAAAAATGAAGATGTTTCACTGAAAGTGTCATGACTACTACAAACACACAGCATTTTATTAAGCAGGACTAAACTTCTTAACAGGATCTGTTATTTTAAATAAAAATGAACTGATGGGTAAACCATGTTTACATTTGCTTTAAAACATTATTAGGGAGCGTATCCTTTCCCTGAATCAGGGGATAAGCATATTATGTAGTGTAATTTACATACCAAAAGTGTAATTTGGTAACAGATGGTAGTGCACAAAAGTTTGAAAATCTGTATGACTTTGGACTCTTATATAAGTGGCAAGGGCATATGCCTTTCTTTGTTAGTAGAGTATATCGTTTTGCATTTTTCTTTGTTCTATAACATTTACTATGAAATTTAAAGAAAGCTCTAAATTCAGGATAGAAATACCTTGAAGAAGCTGTAATAAGCTCTTCAGGTGTGTCACCTTTGCTTGCACTTTCCTGCAATTGCCTCTCAGCCTCTATACTATCAAACAGTATTTGTTGAGAAGTTTTGATGCTGACTTTTAGCATTTTCTTACATTTGTATCATCAAACTAAATAATGAATATGAAAGCTCATAGAATGTCTGTATGTACTGTATACTGTACATGTTTATCTGTTATTACAAAGAAAATCCCCAAATGTAAACAATTGGAATCTATTTCTGTTCTGTTATTTTCCTAATAAACTTCATAAACATCTCATGTATGTGCTGAGTATTTATGTGTACTGTAATTATATTTATATACAGTATGATGATGATCCTGTATATTAAATTTTGTTTACAGATACAGGGTACAGTAATTGTACGAGTGAGCCCTAATAGTAATCCTATTAAACTAACACAACACTTTCAATTCTATACAAAGAATTATTATACTGTATGTTGGGAGAGCTAACTTACATTACTAAATTAACAGGTTAAGTTATTAATGTGTGTAATTATGGTACTGTATATAAAAAAATAAAATTTAATTAATATTTCCTGAACATATATACAAAATTAAATATACAGTACTGTACCTTTTATGTGCCTATCTGCAGCCCTTTATCCACCATCCTTGTTCAATAACTTGATCCAAGTCCATCTCTGAAAGTATAATAACAATTATGTTCAAAAATCTGATATTTCAAATATAGGGATTAATATACAGTACTGTACTGTACAGGTATATACCTTCCCTGACTTTCCTTATCTAATACATGGAAAAACTAAATATTAAATACTGGCAAATATAAAGTTCTAATACAGTACTAAAATTGAGTTTATTTTCTGGGTGACTGCAAGTGTTAACAATATCCTGAGGTAAAGGTCACTCACAGTAACATTGTAAAAGTACTGAACACTGCTTAATAAAATTCATTTGCATTTATGCAGTACAGTATAGATTAATGTCATAGGACCTATCTGCTACATGTACAGGTATTTAGATTTGCAGTTGCAGAAACTGTGGAGATGAAGATGGGTAAGGCAGTTCTCTCATAAGTTTATCTGGGAAATGGATTTCATAATAACTCTACATCACATACAAGTATAATGTGAAGAAAATATGACAAATCTTTCAAGAACATACAAAGCATATTAATTCTATATGCAGTACAGTATCTAGCTATACATAACTTCTAGAAGGCATTGCATCTGATATACAGTACAGTACAGTATTGCTAAAACTGTATGTTGAAACGGATGATGACATTTTTTTTATTTAAGACACTTAGAATTTTCATACATTTTGCTGACAACTTAAAACTGATAAAAATCTAAATAATGAAGTAAAATAATATAAATTTCGAAGGTTTGATACTGAAATAAATCACCAAATCAATTATTTCTGTCATGCAGTAATTTAAAGCATGGGCATCAAGGTACAGTATCAATCAATTAGAATAATTTCACTCTTTCACATTATTATTCTATGTCATTGATACCTTAATGCTTAAAAAAAAAATTGTATCTATTAACTGTATTCAACTTGATGCATTACAAACCTATCAACCTATTTTTATATGTCAATGCATAATACAGTACAGTTGGGTCTTCATTTGCGCGGTCAATTGAACCCGCGGAGTTCCGCGTAAAACGAGAAACGCGTAAATGAAATAACAGAACATATGGGATTAATTGAAATAGACTGGGCCGACCCCCAAACTCCACTTTTTCCGACACACTACGTACCTTGTAGTAAAAATAACATCTTAAATTTATGATGGTATGCACACAATATTAATAATTAAGAGAAATATCAATAATATTAGGTTTTTTAACACTTACATTAGTAGAAAAGATGGCTGGGCACGCGGGAATGGGGGTTGGTTCCGAGGCAGATGGCAGATTATTGGCCCTCACCTGTGTCACTTGTATCACTATCCACCACAGAGGCTTGCAGGGCCTCTTTGTCAAACCCCTCCAAGTCCATATAAGTCCATATCCTCACTATCACTGACTTGAGCCGGCTGTGGTGGGTGGCGGGTGAAGAACTCGGTAATGTTTTGATGACTGGGCGACCTTATGCGCACCCTGCCTGCACCGCTTCTCGCGTAAATGACCAAATTTGCCGCGTAAATCAAGCATTTCAATTCTGGCAAGGCACCGCGTAAATGACAAAACGCATAAGCCAAAACCGCGTAAATCCAGACTCAACTGTACATGTACTGTACTGGGTGTTAGAAAAATCCTTGTGCACCTGCAGTAATTAAAACTAAAGCTATGTATTTACATTTTTCTACTTAAAGTATGTATTGGAAATGGTCACAGTAAATGTTTACTGTAAGTAGAATAAGGTATTTCTGTATAACAAAGTAGGTATAACAAGGAGCAATATTGTTAATTATGGCAGGTGTACAGGGACTTTTCTAACACCCTATTGATCCACAATATATTTATCTCTCTACAGTCTATACAGTGCATTACTTCTTACTTATAGGAACTGAGAAATATTTACTTACAATCAATTGCATTCTCAACAGGGTTATTTTCTGAGTGGACAGCATCTCATGGATCATATTTAGAAAATAAACCATCTGAAAATCTGTTGAAAGAAATAGACATTATTTTTAGTGATTAATAGACACTGTACTGTATTATCATACATTTATTTATACTGCGGTAGGAGGTCCCTGACAGAGGGACAGTCTAGGCAATACAGTAGTGTTGAAGCATGTTACCGGTGGGACAGTTACAGAGTTTACAGGAAGAGAAGTGTAGGTCATCCCCCACCTCAAATACATGCCAGATAGGTCTGTATCCTAACCTACTGTGAACAGAGACATTATGTCTGCGGACCGTAAGTCCACGTCGACGATACTTGTGTGGATAAGGAAGAAAGTGATCATTGTGTTGGATGGATATATGTTCAGCCCGTTCACTATCCTTGCTATGGATTGTAGGGAAAAGAGCGGTTGAATGTATGAGTATCTTCTTTCAGTAGGCCATGCTGGGCTTATATTTAGGCCTAAAATATCCTGATTGGACAGCCATAATTTTGAGAATCAGTTATTGATTAATTTCGATAGAAAGATTTGCAAATAAACATGTGTAATTCTATGTCTTTTATTTTTATTTTTAGTTAATTACTTTTTTATAATTTACTACGGATTTATTTTAATATTTGAGACAATTAATAATTCTGTTAACTTTTTACTTTCAGTGCTCGAGTACTTTATGATTGAGATACTTTTTTTGCTTCTACGAGTACTTGAGTACTGTACTGTACATTGATCTTTGGATACTTTTAATTCTACTTGTGTAACATTTTGCCGATGTAACACTACTTTTACTTCAATAACTAAGTCCAGTACTTTTTATAATTCTGCTTGTACATAGAGTATCTAACTGATGTATATACTGTAACAATAAAAATTTAAGATAAAATTTAAAAACAGGTAATCCCATATGAACTTTTCATTCATGATATTACTAGATGTATAATGTACAATTATACTGGACAGGTATGCTGTTTGTAACCATAAAGTGTATATTCCATTGCACAATTTAAACGGTATTCAATGTTTTATTAAACCTTAACAAAGTCTTATTTATTTGTCATTATGGTATATTTTTAGCTTTGGACAACATGGGAATCTCAGGTATTTTATCTTTGCAGTCAATAGTTTAGACAATTCTAAAGCACTTTTCTTCAATGATGTTTCCCTTGTAAATGACCTAGCATAACCTCCTAACCGGGTGGCCCGACATATATAAGTCGTTTGCGAAAGAAACGCCACAGAAGAAAAGTGTCTTAGAATTGTCAAAAATATCTACAGTATAAAGGTAAATTCCTAACTTTCTCGTCTTGTCCAAAAGTAAAATAATACCATCATTATCAACCTCAAATGTTATTCATATAGTAATTGCTTTTATCTTATACAGTGTACTGTACTTTTATTTTAATGTTTGTACCTGTTGTTGCAGTAGCATTGTGAAGATGATGACCATATCTTGTACTGTATAGCTGCCTTAAGGAAAATGCTCACTGCACACACGTGATGAATTTGTTTTAACCTTTTGTCTCTGAGGAAGGCTATATGTAGTTTCCTTGGCCATCAAAGCATCTAAAATAGAGAGGGGTGGAGAGATTAGAACATTCATCTACCCTAAATATTAAAATATAAATAATTCTGATGATAAAACGCTGTTATATCAACTTAATTAGTTACAAATATTACTAATATTTTTGCCATTAACAAGATTATAATTAAAAAACAAGAAAATTCAATAACACAGAGCTCTTCAGGCTATGAAATTTTTCGGGGTAACAAGGCGACTCTCTCTAACCCAGAAAATTCCCGCATCCCCGGATTTTTCCGGGTGCTGGGAAAATTTTCTTGGAATTTTCCAGAATTATGCATTACCGTATTTCATCTCAGTATTTGGTCTCAGACCCCCCAAAAAACTGGATTTTCCGGAATTTTTTCAGAATTGTCTCATAAAATGCGCCTGATTTTCAACCTCAGAAACTCGTTTACACACCCGGAATTGAGAGAATTTTTCCGGAAAAATTCCAAGCCAATTTTAATTCAAGACATTGGAGAGTTCCAAATACAGGTACTCCTCGACTTACGACCTACTCGACGTAGTTCCACCCGCACTTACGACTTGCCTCAGTTGTACCAAAATATGGTCAAATTACGTATTTTCGAGTCCCAAAGTCAGTACACAGACAAAATTTTCACCTGTAATTCACTTTAAAATGGCTGGCAAGCTTAAAAGTGAGTGTTTTATGGTGCTGCGAAGAAAAAGAGACCCCCATTTTCGATTTTCTATGTGTTATTTAAGCATTTCCGACTTACGACCATTTCGACTTACGACCTGGATGTCGGTCCCTAACCCTGTCGTAAGTCGGGGAGTACCTGTAATGGGGATTCGGCTAATGGAGATACTGATTCATAACATGTTGTTCTAAATATGAATTACAGTCAGTAAAATAAGTATCAACCACCCCAAGGTTGAAAGAATAGAAAATGAGCAAAATGTCAAATGAAAATTATCTCGCTGCCATGTTACCATACTGTGCATGCGCGGCCATGCACGGAACCATAAAACATATATTCTGCACATGTAAAGAAACCCACTGAAGGCCTGAAAAATAACTACCCAGGTTGTAGAATATCCTCCAACTCTTTGCTCAAAATGCAAGTGACAGCTAGCATTATTCTTCTTATTTTAAGCTACATACAGTATACAGTACTACTTACAATCAACCAGCAATAAATACATCACTTACCACCACCTTTAATTAGATTTTTTCGTTTAATTTTCATCACTAATTAATTTAATAGCCATTCTGGCGGTTGGTCAATCCATTGTCAGTGCAGGAGGAAACCAGGGACTGGGAAACCTGTGATGTTTAGTGAGGTCACAATTGATAATTGGTGGTAAGTGATTTTAGTTATTGATGGTTGATTGTAAGTACATGTAGCTTAAAATAAGATGGATAATGCTAAATGTCACTTGCATTTTACGTTGGTCAAAAGGACTACACCCCCTCTCACAAAATACAAGTCCACACTACACTTCTAGAAACCACACATAAAGGCATATTATCCTATAGTGACAGATAAGTATTCCTATGAGCAATTCACAGGATATGCTCAGGTCAAGATATTAAAGAAAAATATCTTTATTGAAACCATACCAGTACCTGAAACCACACCTTGGTAGATATTATGTGATGATTTATTTCGTCCCGGTAGATATTTTACATAGCTCTAGCCACAGATACTGTATACAGTACATTTAAATTTTTCACACTTTCTTATTGTTACGGATGGCAGGGGTCGATACTTTTTTAGTAACTGTGCATGTACTAACCTTGCCTTATCACTCGAAACCTGTAAAATTATAAGTGTTTAAATGGCTTTTTTATGAGTTTTACATCCAACCCAGCTGAGAATGTTTTTCAATGTGTCGTATTCTATGCGATAATTTGCGATTGTGTCTGTGGGTAAATATTACAGACGACGCGTTTGTGGTAAAATAACTGTAAAGTGCCTTGTATGGTCGTTTCAAGGGACCAGGGATAAAACAATAATAAAAATATTTAATATTAGTCAATTTAACCAAGGGTAGCCGACACGGCCATGAGATGCTTATTTCCAGTAGGGTCCTGATGCCAACAACGTAGAAATGTGGCACTGCGATGGTACCTTTGAGTTCTGTCTGTGAGAGTGCGATTGTGAAAGGTCAACCTTGAGGCGTCACGTACTGGCACAGTTTCCTTGGGGGTAAAGGACACCTTTATAAGCTAAAGTCTTATGCTATAGATAGGTCCCCAGTGACCACGTTTGTGGTACAGGGGCTTATCCAGGAGGGGGTCCTGGGGGAGCATATCCCCTTTTCATTAGAAAATTCCTATACCTTTTTCTTTAATATAGTATGTACTCAGGCGTTTTTACATAGTAAGAAGTAATGACTACTGACCTCAGAATATCTACTAATAGTAAGTGCAAATGGTTTCAAAATTGCCTCAAAAAACACATGGTGCTACTATAGTACGCGGTCTACCGAGCTGGAATTGGTATATCGTTCTTGAAAAGCTACCTTCCTCAGCTGACCACTAGTCAAAATTAACTTCTTTGGATCGTATGTCTATAATTAACTATTTTGTTCCTAACTAATTTTGTATAGCCTACTGATATACGATCATAGGGTTCTCAAATATATCCAGTGGGAAAGTATCTTTGATGTCCATACCTTGCTGTATCGTACCGAGGTTTACCATTTCTGTATACCCGGCACAATAAATTGTTAAAAAGGGGGGGGGGGCAATTTTTTTACGGGGATTAGCCCACCCAGGCACAGGTCATTGACCTACATCGGGGCCCGGGGGGCGAAAGTGTAATAATAATAATAATAATAATTCATAGTAAATAAAATGTTAAAAAAAGTAAAATAAAATATTAATGGTAAAAATAATAATAACATTGTGACAATAATAATAAGTGCAAAGAAATACAAGAATTAAAAAAAATCAATGGTGAGAAACGCTATATGTATGTGGTGTTGTCATGTAAGAGAAACAATTGAGACCCTACAATTGTGTGTAAATGAGGCAGAAAGACAGATCAGCAACCTGGGACTTGGTCACAATTTTCGTGATGCCATATGGCAGCAGGGTCTACCATTAGACAACACATTATGCTTCCAATATCTTCCCAGGCAGTAGTACCTCCCTGTTTGGTAGCTGCCTACTAATTATTGTTATGTTAGTATTGCACTTCAACAACTAAGGACTTTAAGCGTATACCATGATTAGTAATTGCACTATACCACCAACAAATATTTTTTTTTTTTAGATAAAACTCTCTTGTTAAGGAGGCAAGTGATGCAAATCTTCACTTATGGTAGCTGTCTCAGCGGTCACCCAACCAGGGCCCAGATTCACTAACACTACTGAGATACGAAGTTAATAACTGCCGGGTAATCACTAACCAAACTCAACGTTGCTCAACTTAGCTGTTCGACCGAGACTATCACAGAGATCAGTGAGGGTGGTGCTACATCTTTTCAATATTCCTTGCTCAACCCAACCCTGATATGTAAGGTATTCGGAAAAATATTACACCCTTCTGTTCTGATCCTGGATGATCACTATCATCAATTATGATCACAAATGGGATCTTAAAAAGTATCTTACATGAACCATATCAATTCCTGACTTTCTAAGGATGTTTTACTGATACACAATTTGCTATATGATAAATATTTGTTACGAGATCTGTTGTATTTATTCTACCCATATTTATAGTCTTTTATTCAGTTGCTTCATTCGTATATTTTAAACGTAACGCAAAATTCACTGGACAAAATTTAAAAGTTTCGGTAAAGTTACTAAGTGTTTAGTGGGAAGATAACTGAGGGCAGTAGCGGTAGTCTTTGATTGTTTACGGTTCGTCAGTGTCAAACCCGGACAACATTTTCTTTAAAACATTCTACTGTTATCTGCTTTCCCACATTTTCTTTGCAATGCAATCCTAGAACAATCGTGCTTCAAACATTTAGCAGAAAATTTACAGTGTGCATAGATTAGAAAGGCATTTAAACAAAGAAAATAAAGTCATGCCGTGAACTAACAGCTCTAGTGTAATAAACTGTAAACTTTGAGTGCTTAATGGTGAAAATATCGGTGCTTTGTATTACCATACAGATGTTAAGCGTTCTAAGTGTTATAAAGAGTTATAATGAAAAAATACTGGGCATTTGTATGAGTTAAGTAAAAGGGCTGTGAGGATAAATTTGTTAAGTGTAGTGTTGTGGGGATGACGGATGACGCTGCCCTCACCAGCTATGCCACGTGAGTACATTTACTATTTTTAAGATTAAAGCTAGCAGGACAAACTTTTTAATTACAAATGTATCTTCAAGAAATCAAAATGCAAGTCTAGTGAAACAGAGGTACAGTTTTATGAATTATTGTTTTGTTTTGTGTGTTCTTTGGACATCCCCTGAGCGGGAAATCTGGTTCTCTGTGTTTGAAGACAAAAGGCGAGACTTTTTTACTTTGGTAATGGTGAAGGAGACTGTTAGCACCAAATTTGTTTATGTTGTTTGGATGACAGTAAGTATGAAAATCTAAATGACAATGCGAAGGTTAGGTAAGTTAGGTAATGTTAAGTCAGGTTTTAGTAGGTTCTGTGCATTTTCTTAAGATTTTCTTAATTATTGTCATCTAAACGTCTGAAAATTTTATGGAATTCCATAAAATCCTTCTGGTGCAAACCGTCTCCATCACCATTACAGTCCAGGGTTTCCAACATTTTTTTTTTTGTCAATTACCCTATTTTACACCTTTTCCCTGACCCACTTTCACAATTGAAGGTTACAGTGACTTTTTCTGGAGTTAGTTCACTAAATGTTAAGAGGTTAGGGTTATAAAACAAACATACTTTAACTTGGACTTGACCTTTTTGGATTTGTTTCATGAACAAAAAAAAAAATACATTAAGTCCAGAACATAAGATAAAAAATATTTGGTTAATATCGATTTTGTTTTGATGGAACTTTTCTTACTATATTTTCATCACTTCGACAAATTTTTCTTTAATATGATAATTAGGCCCCTAGGCTCAGTCCGAGCGTACTCACGTCCACAAAAAACGTAATATTACACCATGCTGTTTCAAGAAAAGTTGCTTTCACTGGTACCAGGTATCAAAGTACGTTCTTTCTGTTTAATATACTGGGGGCATTGCTCCTAGGCTAGGTAGTTAGGTCAAGTTAGGTTGGTTTCTTTGGTTAGGTTAGTGTTAGCCATCTCTTAACTAGGCTTTGGCCACTTGCATTTCTTATCGACTGGGGTTAGGTTAGGTTTAATTTAGAAATAAACCTATTTTAACACATTTACCTAAACTATGTGTCCACAGTAAAACACAGTGAAATTGTGGCATTTTAAATAAATTTTCGATTAAAATTTGGTTGCAGGCGAGTCATCAATAATTTCCCAAAATTTTAGTAGCTAAAAAATAAAAAATAAAGCTTCAGACTTTGACAGAACTTATGTTTATTTATTCAAGCCAAAAATGACAAAATGCCATCCAACCTATATCTTTTGGCAGCCGAAACTTAAGTACAGTAATTTATTTTAAAATAAAAGTCAATAACCGATGGACAATTGGCCTTATCTGGTTCTTTTGTAAATCAAATTTATTCACTGCCCAAAAAAAAAGAGAAAACAAGAGAGAGCAGTATCTGAGATCAGTTGCTGTTCAATGGGATGACTGACACCTTTTGAGCTACTAACAAATCAATTCAAAGTAAAGATTCCAAAAAGGCCAACCACTGAATTCTGTATTGATTTGTATATAGGAAGGTAGAGCAAAAAAAAAAAAATGATTATGGTAACTTGCTGTGTAAGGGAGGGGGGGGGGGTATCTCTCAACTCAAGCTGCTCCCCTTCTCTTGTTCTTAGTTCCTTCAATTGTTCTTTCTACTTACTCAGTTCAATGGTTACTACATAACCTCAGTTCTTTGGTAGCATGGCGAGGGTCTAGGGCACATGGGTATTGTAATTCTGATATCAGGGTCACTTGGACGGAAATAAAGGTGAACTACTGCGGGAAAATGAATACCCCTAATATACTCTAAGAAAAGGTTTATTAATATGAAATCAAAGTTGGGAAAAATATATCATTAACATACAACTCCAAGGTGCAGCTCCTCGGCTTTACTCACATGCCATTCCAAGTGGGTACTCTGACTTCTCCCACATTACTGGTGATACATTTCATTACATCCAGTTATAAGACAAACTTATGTACATATGATACCTTCACAGACTGTTGTTAGTACATATGAGATGCACTCACAACACACAGCACGCTATTACTGAACCAACAACTTACACATGGGTTCACTACCCAACATGGGATAATTATTTCCAGAATTATCCCCAAACATATACAACAAACACTGATAGCCATATAACTTCAAGGCATGTCCCAGGTTATAACACTCGCTCCTCTAGCAACTGACGACCGCTGTTGTGATCGGTGAAATTCAGACACATGGCGAGTCTTGGGTCTAAGGCCCACGAGGCGGACTTGGAGCAAGTTAATCATGTCGAATCAACGATATCGTCCATATATCGCTCACTGCTCGGTAGCCACCGGCTCCGGGGCAGTCGGTGGGTTGTTCAAAGAATCCACCCAAATACAACCACTTAACACTGAAAAATATAATATAAAATTGTAAAAATTGTAAAACAGTGCATACATATGCATCTAAACCCCTGAAATAAATAATATCATAAATACTTGTAATAAAAGAACAATAAATTAGTAAAAAAAAAAAAAAAAAAATTAAATAATGTTCGTTGTAGGAGTTTCGTTCGTTATAGCATTCTCAATTTTATAGGTAATACCGTTCGTTATAGGAATATTCGTAGTAGGATCCGTTCGTT